TATTACAAATTGTGCTGCTATGAACAAGGGTAGGCATATATTACTGCTATATGATGCTTTTAACTTGGGAAGATACCTAAAAGGGGAATTGCTGGGTCGAATGGAACATCTAGTTTTATTGTATTGAGGAATCTCCATACTGATTTCAATACTAGGTGTACCAGTTTACCCTCCTACCAACAGTGGAAAAGGATTCCTTTTTCCCCCACAGCCTTGCCAACATTTGTTATTGGTGTGTGTGTGTGTGTGTGTATACACACACACATATATATATTTGTATTCAATATATATTTGTATTCAAAGTAAGCAGGGCAGTGTTTCTCAAGCTTGTTTCGTTATAGAAAAAAAATTTTTTTTGTTGTTTATTTTTTTCAGACAGGGTCTCGATATGTAGTTCAGGCTGAGCTTGAACTCAGTATGTAGCCAAGGCTGGCCTTAAACTTGCACTGATTCTCCTGCCTCAGCCTCCCAGGTGCTAGGATTATAGGCAAGCACCACCACACCCAACATTGGTTGATTTCTTGGTGATAGCCATTATTTCTGGAGTGAAATGGAATCTCAATGTGGTTTTAATTTGCATTTCTCAAATGCCCAGTGATTTTTTTTTTGTACTCGGGGTGGAACTTGGATCCTTGTGCTTGTGAGGCAGGTGGTGGAACCACTGAGCTAAATCCCTGGCAGCCCAGTAATATTGAACAGTTTTTCATATATTTATTTGCTGTTTCTATTTTTTCATCTGAGAAGTGTCTGTTCATTTCAGATGCCCATTTTAGAATGGGGTTTTAAAATTTGGGAAGTCTGAAATTTTGAGTTCTTTATATATTCTAGATACTGGTCCTTTGAGGAATAGCTGACAAAAAATTATTCCTATTCTGTGGATGGTTTCTTCACTCTGTTGGTGGTTTCTTTACCTGTGCAAAAACTTTTTATCTAATGTGATCCCAGTTTTGATTCTTGGTAATATTTCCTGTGTGATTGGAGTTTTATTCATCAAGTCTTTGCTTACACCTATGTATTCTAGAGTTTTACCTAGTCCAGCAGAATAAGTGTTTAAATATTTAGATCTTTTAAAAAATGTATTTAGATCTCTGATTCATTTCACTTTTAGTTTATTCATGGTGGGAGATATAGGTCTAGATTTATCTTCAGGATGTGAAAAGTTAATTTTCCCAGCATCATCTGTTAAAGAGGTTGCTGGTCATGGTGGCATGCACTTGAAATCTGAGCACTTGGGAGAATGAGGCAGGAAGATCACACTGAATTTGAGTTCAGCCTGAGCTACATATCAAGAAAAGAAAAGAAAGAGACAAAGAGAGAGAAAGAAAAAAAAAGGAAGGAAGGAAGGCTTTTTTTGTTTTTTTTTTGGTACCAAGGATCTAACTCAGGACTTTGCACTTGCCAGGCAGGTGCAATGCCACTGAACTAAATCCCTGGCCCAAAAGGCTATCTTTCTTCAAGTGAAAGTATTTGGGTCCTTTGTCAAAAATAAGGTAGCTGAATGTGTTTAGAGTTGTTTTACATCGGCTGTTTCATTGATCCTCTAGTCTGTTTCTTGTTTGTTTAAAAAAATTTTTTTTTCCTGTACAATGCTGTTATCACAGTAGTTTTGTAGTATAATTTCAAGTAGGAGATTGTGATGCTCCCTTCCTTGCTGTTGTTGCCCAGAATTGATTTTGCCATTCTAGGTCTCTTCTGGTTCCAAATAAATTTCAAGATTGTTTTCTTTAGTACTGTATGGTATGCTATTGGTATTTTGATTGGGACTGCGTTAAATCTATATGACAGTTTTGGAACTATGGTCATTTTCACTACTTTGGTTCTGTCTATCCAAGAACAAGGGATATCTTTCCATTTTCTGATATTATCTTCTTCAATCTACTTTTTCAGAATATTGTAGTTTTCAATGTAAAGGCCTTTTATTTCCTTTGTTAGATTTATTCCTAAGTATTTCATTTTTCCAGATGCTATTGTGAAAGGCGTTGTTTCCCTAATTTCTCTTAGTAAGTTTGTTATTTGTATACAGAAATGCTATTGATTTTGGAGTATTGACTTTGTGTCTAGATATGCTACTGAATTGATTATTAAATCTAGAAGTCTTTTGGTGGAGTTTTTGGGGTCTTCTATGTAGACTATTATATTATTCACAAATAATGATAATTTCCTTCTTCCTTTCCTATCCTTATTCCTTTTATTTCTTTCTCTTGTTTAATTACTCTGGGTTATGTTTCCAGAACTATATTGAATAGGAATGGTGATGGTGGGCATCCTTGTCTTATTCCTGATTTTAGAGTAAAAACTCTCAGTTTTATCCATTGAGTATGATGTTGGCTTGTAAAGATAGACTTTATCAGATTGAGATAAAGACATTCTATTTATCATGAATGGGAGTTGGACTTTGTCAGATGCTTTTTCTATGTCTATTGAATTGATTGTGTATCTTCTGATTTTTCATTGTTTCCAATTAATCTTATGTTATTCTTTGCATCATCTAGCATCTGTTGAATTGATTTTTTTGTGTGCTCTGTTTTGCTATTTTTAAAAAATCTTTCATTTGATGATCACTAACTGCAAACCTGTCTTCTAAATCTGATATTCTATCTTCACATTGGTTGATTCTGCAGTGTATGCTTTCAATATAATTTTTAATCTCTTGGATATCTGTTTTATGGAATCCAGTTCTTTCTTACTTGGCCTTAATGGTTTCCATCACTTTCCTAAGCTCCTTAATTTTTTTTATCTGTATCTACTTTATATTTACTAACCATATCCTTTGTTATGGTCATCATTTGGTTATCTTTATAACTATTTCTGATTTGTTTTTTTTCTGGAGACTCATTCATCTGCTTTGTTACTTTTACTGCTACTATTTCTGAAAGTTTATCTGGGTGGCTTTTGATTTCTTCTACCTCAATGCCCCCTAGATTTCTTTTGGGAATGCTGGAGGTCTGGGGTTTTATCGTACTTCCATGTTTTCTCTTCATCTATTTCTAAAATTTGTTTTCTGCATTGATGCTTGTAAATTGTTTGTGGTGGGTAGCTTTATTACTAGTATCAAGACCTCTTTAGGAAATGACTACTTTTCAGAGATATATTCTAGGTTTAGCTGTCTTTTGGCTTTTGAGTCAGTCCTAAGATCCTGCCTCTTCAATTTATTGGTTATGTGAGGTTGCAACAGGCCTAGCACCCAGTTCTTTGGTACTGGACTATGCTATTATTTATCATCCCCAGGCAACCTCAGTATTGGCATACATGGAAGAACAGCTGATCAAAACAACTATGTCACCTTGGCTAAAGTATAATCAGTAATAACAATTGCATGAAGCACAGTCTAGAAAATGACAAACTGTGATAACTATTAATTTGCCACCTTTAAGCATAGGTACAAGATTTATAGTTCTATAACAAAATCAAAAACAAATCAGAGGCCGAGTGTGGTGGCACATGCCTGTAATCCCAACACTCAGGAGGCTGGGGCAGGAGAATCGCTGTGAGTTCAAGATGAGCCTGGACTACATAGTGAGTTCCAGGTCAATCTCAACTACATAGATAGTAAGACCCTGTCTAAAAAAAAAAATTAAAAAAAATCAGAAAATATACATTGTAAATGGACCCTCTGTAGAGCAATTGTGCCCTTGGGAGAAAATTTAAAAGGAATAAAAAGAAAAATAGAATAATAAAAGAAGAGAAAGATTAGAAACAAAGCTGAAGAACAATAGATTACCCAAGCTTTGGGAAACTGGTAAAAATGATGAAAGGGAAGTAAAGAAAGAAAGTGAAAAGAGCAAAACAAAACAAAAAACTGAAAACAATGTTATATTCATGCATAAACAAAAATAACCAAGAGAAAAACCCCAAGAGCAAAGGAAAAAAATTCTCTGTAATTTCAAGCTTGCAGTTGTCTTCTGGGGTTTTCAGTTTTGTGGTAGTGTCCAATTCAGGGCATGTCTCTGCTGTCACTGATGGACAAAGGAAGCAGACAGACCCTAAATCCATGCTGGATGATCCTAGTAAGCTTGTAGTAGGATCATAGCAGGGTTCAAATTCTGGTGCTTTTAACTCCACAGAAGTTCAAGCTGATCCTGGCTTCTGGTTGTGCATTTGGGGCCTGAGTTGTTCAGCCTACAACACTCTGGGTATCTATTGCCAGCCTGACCTTGGCTCGCTGACTGGGTATCTCTCACAGTTGTCCCTCATCCAGTCACTGTGGGATTTCAACACTAGGAGCCCTGAGATGAAGCAAACCCACGGCTGCTCCAAGTCTTGGACTCAGTTGTCCCCTCCCGAAAATGGCATTTGGCCAAGCCATTTGTCTCCTCTCCAGGGAAGAAGGCACACACTTGGACTGGAGTCACTCACCAACTGTGGTAGTACACTGGAAACCTCTGGAGTCACCCACCCTCACTGTCTTTGTAAATTCAATCCTCCTCTCTCATGCTGTGTGCTGGGGACCAGAGAGAAAGTATAGTTTGCCATCTCCTTTTTTTGCATTGTCTGTCTCTTCACTTTCACTGTGGGCTACAATTTTCCCTTCAGACTCTTCCCTAAATTGTTATTTTCCACTGTCTGGATTCCAAATCTCAGAGAGGTTAAATTGTTATTGTTCCATTTTTTTAAATCCCTTATCTCTTCCTCTACGCTCCCTCCATCTCATGATCCCCTTCCCCTTTGAGAATGATCTATCTCCTTACTTCCTATTAACTTTTATTCTGCTCTTTATTTTTACTCTGGGTTTCTCAGATAAGAGAACTATGTGATACTTAAACTTGTGTGTCTGGTTTATTTTAGTTAATATTATGACCTCCAGGTGCATCCATTTCCCTACAGATGACATAATTTTATCTTTCTTTATGTCAAAGCATTACTCCATTTTGTGTAAATACCACATTTTCTTTATTCATCTGTTGACAGAAATATGGGCTGCTTCCAGATTTAGCTATTACAAATTGTGTTGTTATTAACATGGGTATGCATGTATCTCTGTAATATGTCTTTGACTCTTTCAGAAAAATACTTAGAAGCTGGGTCAAATGAAACTTCTAATTTAGTTCTTCCTCTTCAGTTCGATTGAATTAGCTTTTAGTATTTTGTTTTGTGTTCTGTAATGACTTCTAAGCTATGCTTTTGTAACTTGTGTAATGGTTTTATTAAAGTATTAAATTTTAATAATATTGGTTTTGTCTCTCTTTTTTTGCCTACTTTTATGATCTTTTCCTTTACCTTTGTATTTCAGCATTTTACTATCATGTGCATAGGTTGTGGTTTTGGTATTGCTGTTTTGGCTGTTTAGATCTGTTAATTCATTTGTGGCCTTATCAATTCAGAAAATTTTTAGCCATTATTTCTTTAAATATTTTTTCTGCCCATTCTGTTCTCTCCTGAGATTCTAGTTACATATAAATTAGACTACTTGCTAATAATCCAGAGTTTTTTTTTTTTCCTCTTGGTGCTACAGCTTAAATAATATTCATTGACCCATTTTAAGTTTCACTGAAGTTGCTTTCTTAGTCTAAATGCTTTATTCCCTTTCATTAAATTTTTCAGGTAGTATATATTTCACTTGTAGAATTTTCATTTAGTTCTTAGCATTCCAATATTTCTCTTGTTATCTATATCAGTTCATCCATTCTGTTCGTATTTTATTGTAATTTATTTAACATATTTTAATTGTTGCTTTAAAGTTTTTTCTAGATTCCAGTGACTTGATCATCTATGCATCTGGTTGTATTAATTTTTATTTTATTAATTATAGGTCATATTTTCCCTTTTCACATGTCTAGTAATTTTTTATAGTACTTCAGATATTACATATAAAAGCTATGGAATATGAGGTGTTGTATGCGTGTGTAGTTTTGTTGTCATTGTGTTTCCAAGAGACAGTAGGGAGGTGGATTATTCATATTCCTCCTATGCTGTGGCTGAACTCTGGCTCTGATGTAGCTTAATTTGAATTGGTTTCTCATTAGGCCAACTGTCACTATGTCCCACCATTACTTAGAGGCTGATCTTTTTTTTGTCTTTTTCAATATTTAAGCCAAGAAGAGGTTAGATTACCAAAAGAGAAGCTGGGGATATACCTCAGTGATGCCGGGCCTGCCTCCCAAGTGCAGGGTCCTGAGTTCAAGCCCCAGTATGAGAAAAAATATCTTAAACTACAGCTGGGCCCCAGAATTCAAGCTCAATAGGATATTTGTAACAATAAAAGCAAAAAGTTATCCCGTCTCTCAGCTCCCATTCTGCTCTGAGGTCATCTTCTAGTCTCCTTTTCCCTGACCTGCCTCCACCTATACTATTCACTTTCCTTTTCCTTCCTCAAGCCAGGGATGTTCTTACCTGAGGTCCTTTGCATCTTCCTGGAATGCTCTTTCACATGGCTATCCCTCACTGAACTTTTCTCTGGCTAGATATCCTTCTATTAGAGTGCCTTCCACAAGCACTCTGCACAAGAGACCATCCTGATCCTCACCTAATCTTTCTGTTCCCCTTATACAACCTAATTTTTTCTAAGCCAAGTATCCTGTATGATTTCTAAGACATCTATCCTTTATGTTTAATATACTCTTTTCCTTTTCCAGAGAATCTAGACAGATCCATACAAGGCTCCTGGTAAAATTAGTTTGAAATCTCTCAAAATGTAGAATACTGTAAAGCTCTTTGAACTTTGATTTCAGTAGGCTGACTTAAAGGAATGTGTTTATTCTAGAAACATTTGAACTTCAAAGACATATCTGTGGACTTCACCCAGGAGGAGTGGGGACAACTCGCCCCCGCCCACCGGAATCTGTATCGGGAGGTGATGCTGGAGAATTACAGGAACCTGGTATCATTGGGTAAGGATGGACCATCCATATATACAGACACCTGCATATTACAAGAGTGTCAGTTTTTCTAAATTATCTATTTTGTGAATTACCTGTATTAGAAATGTCTTATTCCTTTGAAAACCAAGCCAGAGTATTTCATTCTCCTTCCTTGGGAAACAACTTTAGTTTCTGGAACTAAAATTAAAGGGCATGCCCCTTTCTACTTTCAGAATGTCTAACAGAAGCTGGAAGTAATTTCTGGAGGTTTTTCTTAGACATCAGCATAAACATTCATCTTTTTTTTTCCTTTAACTCCATGAGCAGGATATCACTTTTCCAAGCCTAGTGTGATTTCACAGTTGGAGAAAGGAGAAGAGCCATGGATGATAGAAAAAGAAGACCTAGGAGATCCCAGTACAGGTGAGACCAAGGCAGATGATACCATTTAATATGTAGGCCATAGTGCTGAGGGTCTTCCTAGGCTGTGGGGAAGGCTCAGGATACCAGATAGGTCCTGCACTAAACTTCATGTTATACCTCCCTATGTTACCCTTTTTAGCTCACTGAGCCCTCTTGGAAAAGTCTCTCTGGAGCTGGAGTTAAGAGAAATCTCATTCTCACTAAAGTGAAATCTGATTTTTTCTCCAGTGTCCTAAGGTCTGCTGACTTAAAACTCCTATCTCTAGCCGGGCGTGATGGCGCATGCCTGTAATCCCAGCATTCTGGAGGCTGAGGCAGGAGGATCGCTGTGAGTTTGAGACCAGCCTGGACTACATAGTGAGTTCCAGGTCAGTCTCAACTACATAGTGAGACCCTGTCTCAAAAAAAACAAAAAACAAAAAAAACCCACTCCTTTCTCTAAGCAATTAGATGTATGTGGCTTTCCACAAATGAACAATTTATTTTCTTTTTCTTTTTTTTTTTTAATTGAATTTATTGGTACATTCTAAGTAGACAGTACAGTTACATTCATTACTGGGATCTTGTACCTTTACATGCCAGGTCTTGGTTCTCATTTTTTCCCCTTGTCCCCACCCTCCCTTCACCCCCTCCTCCCCTCCCCACCTTCAAACACTTTAATTCCATTTTTACATTTTCTCATATTTTTTTCCTTTTCCCTTATTCCACTTTCCCTATCCTTCTCACTGTCCCTACACCTTTGATGAACAATTTATTTTCAAGGCTGTCATTACATTCTATAAATCTTTAATTTTCCCTTTTGTGCTTTCTGTTTGCCATCTTTTATTTTTGAATCCCAGTTTCAATTTTCAATCTTTTTAACTCATGTATCTTAATATTTTGTAATAGCTACTTCATGAAAACTCCTGCAAGGGAAATTAACACACGATTCCTTTTCACCAAATCCAATAGTCTTTAGCAATCTCGTTAGTTAAACCTTGCTATTACTATGAAATATTTTGGATATTCAGAACAGTATAAAGAACATTACAACAAATCTTTGCTTAGCTTTTAACTAGATTAAAAAAATAAAACAGTTGAAGCTCCACAATTCTCCTACCTTTCTTTTTTTAACAGTATGAAAATTTCATTAAAGGTAAGAAAAGAAACAGGCTCTGCAGAGTGAGTTTGGGCCAAGTAAAAGTTGGAAAAGAAGTACACTCTACAGCATCCGGGTGGGCCACCATGCAAGAGAGGAGAGAGTGGCAAAAGCTCATTGTGAACTGTCCTTTTTGTATCACCCACTGCTCAGGCTTATGTGAGGTCTAGGCCATCCTGTTGAATAACTGCTGGAGTTCTTGACAGAAGTCCATGTGTAGGGCTTTGGGAACTGTTCTGTGCATGTGCCCTGGGATTTTGTAATTAACACGTCCCTCTTACCTTTCAGAATATCCACTCTTCTGAGTTTGTTTTCATTCTCATTTGTCTTCATACTTTCATTAAGTACATACAACCTAAGCAACAGCATTCTCTTTTATGTTATTATTCTTTAAATAAATAGTATATATACTTTGACTTATTCAACACTGTTGGTGTTTCTCCATGTTGTTCTGGTTCATTAATTTCCATTAAAATAATCACTATTTTTAATTTATCTTCCTGGTGATAAACACATTGTTTCAATATTTGGGTGTTATACAAAGATGCTGTAGTTAACTTTCATATACATATATGCTCATATACATATGCAAGTATCTAAAAGAAGCAAAATTGTAGAATCTTTGAGTATGTGTGCCTTCATTTCCTAGGTATTACCAAGTTACTTTTTTTTTGTTTTGTTTTTTGTTTTTTGAGACAGGGTCTCACTATGTAGTTGAAACTGACCTGGAACTCACTATGTAGCCCAGGCTGGTCTCGAACTCACAGCGATCCTTCTGCTTCAGCCTCCTGAGTGCTGGGATTACAGACGTGCGCCACCACACCTGGCCTCCAAATTGCTTTTCAAAGCAGTTTCACCAGTCTGTAAACCCATTTGCAGGTTTTGAGAGTTCCTAGAACTGAGGGCTGGGGATGTAACTCAGTGTTCAAGTGCTTACCTAGCATTTACAAGGTCCTTGGTTCAGTCACTAGTATTGAAATAAAAAATAGGAGAGTTCCCTGAATTCAGCATTTTGGTCAAAACTTGATATTGTCAAACTTTAAAAGTTTTGTAAATTCAGTGAATGAATATGATATCATTTCTCTTGATTACTAGAGATAAGCAGCCTATTAATCATGTTTATCAACCACCCAGAATTTTTCCTTTGTAAATAATCTTTTTATATACACTTTGCCAGTTTTTCCTTTTTTGTATAGACATGTATTATACATGTCAGTACATATTCATTCTGGACATTTATCCTTGATAGCTTTGTTTTGCAAATATTTTGTTAGTGGTCCATCTTTCACTTTTCTTTTTTTTATGGTACTGGGCATTGAACTGAGGGGTCACACATGAGAACCAAGCACTCTACCACTAAGCTACATCTCCAGTCCTTTTTATTTTAAGGCAGGGTCTTACCCAGTTATCCAGGCTAGCCTCAAACTTGTGATCCTCTGCTTTTAGTCTCCCAGGTAAAAGTAGAGGCTTTTAAAAGATGAGAGTTTAAAAATTGCCCAGGGATTTGGCTCAGTGGTTCTGCCGCCTGCCTTGCAAGCACAAGGGCCTGAGTTCGATCCCTGGTACAAAAAAAAAAAATCTTTTTAATGGCCAGGGATTTAGCTCAGTGGTTCTGGCGCCTCCTTTGCAAGTGCAAGAAACCCGAGTTTGCCCCAGCACAAAAAAAAAAAAAAAAAAAAAAAAAAAAGTTTAAAAATTTAATAATATTGAATTTATCAGTTTTTTCTTTTGTGCTTTTATTCTTTTAGCCTGTAGATAGCATATATATGTTCCTTTATATATTCTTATATTTTTAAAGTTTGGCTTTTTATATTTAATTACCTGGAATTTATTTTATATATAATATGAAGGAAAAACCTAGTTTAACTTTTTCCACATGGATAATCTGCCCAGGAACCATTTATTGAATAGTTAATTGTGCTCTGCCACCTGTCACGTTTCTTTATATGCTTGGATCTATTTTTGGGCTCTCTCTATTCCATTTCACTCAGTTATTTTTTTATTCATACCCTAATGGCAGGCTGTCTTAATTAGTATATTTCATAATGAGACTTGATACCAAGTAGAAGTGGTTCACCACCTTCTTCCTTAACACCGTCCTAGCTATTCTTAGCCTTTGCTTTTCTATATGAACTATATAGACAGTGCACCAAATTACATATGCACAAAAACAAATGCTCTACTAACTGTTTGGAACAGAATCAAATTTCTAAATCAATTTTGAGGACAGTTAACATTGTTATGATGTTAATATTAAGGAATTCGATATATTTCTCTACTCATTATTTCTTAATTTTTATTCAATACAGTTTTAGGATTTTTTCCATAAAGATGTTATACCTATTTCACATCTTTTTTTAGTTTCATCCTGAAAATCCTATATTTTGTTATTATAATACATGGTATAATTTTTGAAAACTGTCTTGGGCCGGGAATAAAGCTCAGTAGCGCCACCACCTGCCTCAAAAGCACAAGGTCCTGAGTTTGATCCCTGGTACAAAAAAAAAGAAAAAAAAAAAAAGAAAAAATTGTTTTGTTCTTGTTGCTGGTATAACAGAAATTATTTTTTTGGGGGGGGTACCAGGGATTGAACTTTGGTCCTTGCACTTGAGAGGCAGGCAGCAAAACCACTGAGCTAAACCCCCAGCCCTAAAAGAATTGATTTTGAATATTGGTCTTAAATAGGCAGCCCTTGTTTCATTGTGTTATAAATTCTGGTAATTGTATACTGTCTTCTACAATTTATAATAGTGAACATAACAAGGGTTGAGGGTATAGATCAGTGGTAGAGCACCTGCCTAGCATGTGCAAGGCCCTGGATTTGAGCCCCAGCACCACGAAACAACTAAAAAGAAAATAATAGAATAATAGCTACCATAAAAGTTCTTTCCCTACCTCTGGATAAAATGTCAAAGAAGTCTTATAGATGGTCCTTTATCTTTAAACAACAAGAGCAGTCTTGATTTTAGAAAAATATTTATTGAGTTCAATGAAATAATAAAAAACCCCAGTCTCATTTAGAATTAAATCTTGTTTTCTCCTCCTGCCTCAGCTTGGGCCTCCTCAGTGTTGGATGCTAAACCAGGAAGGGTACACAGATGGCTTCTTTTCTCTTTCTCTGTTGTCTTCCCATCTTCTTTCCCTATTGATGACTAGAATCAGGCCCACAGAGCACAGACTTTATTATCATTTAGAATTTGGAATTCAAAAGTGATAATGAACTTTCTGAGTTCACCAAAACATCTGATAAGAAATTGTATTTCTAAGGGCCATGGATTTAGCTCAGTGGTACCATGCCTTCCTTGCAATTGCAAGATCCTGAGTTCAATTTCTAGTGCCAAAAGAAATTAAAAGTTGTATTTTTCATGAATATAGACCTGTCAGTTGAAATATTAGTAATGGTGCAACAAATTAACAAGTGAGAAAGCCAGTTAGAATTGTGGTTAAAGTATATGTTCCTTGAACCTTGCAGCAGTCTTAATAGAACAGTTTGGATTTCTTTCAAGTTTCCTTTGAATAAATAAGATTTCATGGATATTTTAATAACTACATAAAGCAAAACTACATGCACACACACTAATACAAGTTTTAAGAAAGGACAACATTCTTGTCCTATTCTTGTCAGTGGTCTTAGTGCAACCTCTAGTTTTTGAATTAGTGTCTATTCTACTGCTGCCGGAATGGGGAAAGGAACATTTTCTTTGTGAGATTGTTTTCCAAAAATAGCAGCCAATTTAAAAATATCTTTAAAGGGGCCAGGGATTTAGCTCAGTGGCAATGCGCCTGCCTTGCAAGCACAAGGTCCTGAGTTCAACCCCCAGTACCAGAAAAAAATAAATAAATTTTAAAAAATATATACACATATATAAAAATGTATAAACACATACATACACACATATAAAATATATATAATATATAAATACGTAATATATAA